ACCCGTTACTCTGCAAGAGTGGGACACTGCAAAATTAAAAGTCTGTTATAGCAATGAATACTAGAATCAGGAGTGGAAGAAAGCAGGAGTATGCTGGAAAAGGTACCATCTTGAGTTTGCCGTGAGCATCGTCACTAATTTCTCTGGCACAGGCAGGTGCCTCTCCTGTGAGCACTTTGATATGAGGAAGAGTTGTTACCCCTCAAAGAACTGAGTTGAGAGATTTTTCAAATCTAGTTAGGAGGAAATTAGATTGCCCGGTGGGAAACTTTCATTCAGTTCCCAGGTCTGACTGTGTTGTTTTCAAAGACTGTTATGCCTGATCAAAACAAAAGGCAGTTGATTTTACTCAAGGCATTCAATTTAATTACAGGTAGGCATTCATTTTAATTATTACACAGTGCCAATGTATAGCAATGGGTGCTGTGTAATTCTTTTAAGGCATATTTTAGTTGAAACATGTCAGAGTTTAAACACAACATATCTTGGTAGACAAAACAAAATCATAAGGGATACAAATATTGTAAAAAATGGAAACATTGTAAGACTTACCAGATGTCAATACAGTTTTAACCATTACCATACACAAAGCTACATTTCTTTCAGTGGAAACTCTTATCTTTTTAACTGGTGGAGATCTCAGACGGCAATCTTGTAGTAGCCTGGTATGTGTACTTACGTGTCTGTGCATCTAGAGAGTGTACATCTCACATTTGATTTTTTATATTTCTATTTTAGACTGTAAGATGCCCATGTAGAAATTGTTTATTCCGATTTCAGGTATGTATCATTTTTAAAGATAATTTGGAATTCAGTATCAGAAGTGTAAACTATTTTCATGAGCTATTCCTCACACAGTGTTAACATTAATTGTTCTTTTTACCATTTAGTTCTTCAATAGACAAACAATTTGATGAAAAATAATAATTTTGTCATTGAACTTAATGCATAAACAAATGTGAATACGTATGCATAGCACTTAAACTTAACTTGGCATTTCCAAATGAACTAAATATCATTCTGGTGGGGAGAATGCATGCACTAGGAACTTTCAAGTGTATTCTTACACCTTGTCTTTAGGAACTTAAGCCATCCCAGCTAAGTTAGGAGGATAGTCCCTTAACATCCCTGAAAAGATACAGCAATCTGCAGAATTCGGGATCTGCTCTAGAGCTATTCAGAGGTGTCGATGGTGCTTCTATATTAATATCTTAGGATTAGAAATACATTTCTAAAGTGAATCTTTCAGTCATTTTCATTTATTGTGCTATCACAAAGTGCATCACAAAGTAGTCTCACGGAGAATGTAATGCAGTCCTTTTAGATGATGGAATGAAGCCCAAATGTGCACCTACGCTAATGTTTCCTTTATTGAATGCCACATTTCCTGAAAATAATATAGGAAAAGAAACTTGTAGTAGATGGCAAAATCCGCTTGCTAATTGCATCCCTCCTGTAATAAACTTCTGCGATACACAGTGTTTGATGCAGAAGCCCAGAATTCTTCTCATTACCCACTAGATGTCACCATTGACACAGAAAAAAAATGTGAGAATGTCTTCTTCTGCCTCTCAAAAGCTTGGTTGGTTCTTCTCACCACACCTTAATCACAGTAGCACTCCAGTCCAAGACATTCCAAGAAATTTGTTATGTTCTCTTCAAGCTGTGTGTCCTCTGACCTTGTTTATTAACTGGAAAACATTGAAAATATTTTACAGGAAACCACACCTGTATTCTCTTGCGGCTTGGGCCCACGTGGTAGTAGGCTTCTCCATTCCTTACCCTCATTTGCTTTCCTCTGCTTCTCTTACATCCAGAGCCATTTGAATTGCCTATTCAGTAAAATAAATTGATGAATCCCGTTAGGTCCCGTGCTAACTGGAAGTTTAAAATAGGCACTATCACCTTTTCTTAACTTATTATTATCTATTAGCTATCACATCAGAGAAGCCCACTGTGACGACTTCACCTGTCTTTATTACTAACACATTTACACTGTGATTATGGTTAAAAATGCAGAGAGAGAAAAAATATTTAGGCAGCTTTATTTGTCTCGGTTTAGCTGTTCTGTGTTTGAATACCAGAGGTATTCTTTGTTATAATCATCACCATTTTTAGACCAATTTTCAGTGATTTTGTTTAGGTTGCTGTTTCATGTTTTAATAGGTTTTGAAATCAGAAAAGGCAATTGTCATGATCAAGAGGATAGACTTCTTGACAACTCTACGTAGCCCTTGGGTGAGCATGTTTCAGCAGTGTACACTAATAACTGGAGCTGACTTAGTGAGCTGCATTTTTATTTCCTCAAGGGTCACTTAAATTACCATCCATTCTGGCTAGAATTGCTGTTGCATATCACAATAGAAAAAAAAGCTCATAATAGCTGTGAATCTGAGCAATTATTTGTCAAAGGCCAATGGATTAGAGCATCTGTTTCAAAAGATGCTGCTTTGTAGTCCAAAAGAAGGCATATTTTATTACTTGTGCAGACACTGCTCTTGCAGCGAAAAAGCTGTCTGAGTTCTGGAATGAGTTTGCTGCTTCTATATTCTCTCTCTATATTTTGCTTTTTTCTCCTAGAATTGAGCTCCCTAATTGCAGTTTCTCCTGCATGCTACTTGAGACCGAAGTCAACTGGTCTCTGAAACTTGTATGATACATTGAAATAGACTGAATTTAAGTTTATTTCTTTAATACATTTTTCCAATTTATTAAAATGCAGAGATATTAGGGCTTCATTGAATATTGAATACTTTAAATACAACTATTGACATTCAGGTGTTTAATTCAGAGAAATAAAACTGACAAAGGATAATAATATTTTGCATTTAGTTAGTGTATTGTATCCAAAATTTATGAGCATCATGCAAACATTATCTTCAGTGTTGCATTGTTACTGTAAGTCTTGTCATAGTCACTTTATGAAATAGGCACATGTGGCACAGAGGGACTCTGAGTAGCTCAAGATCATTAAGAACATAGAATTCAGAATTTCTCCTCCAACCATTAAACTATCATTTTTCACTTCTGATGTAATAAAGATGTTACACAGAACGTCCCTTCAACTCATCCCACCAAACTGTTGACCGTACTCAGTTGAAGGAGTTCCAGTTCCCCCAGAACTGTGTTGTTCAGCTAACTGAGAAATTTCAGAAGCAAGAAAACAGTCAGGAAGTGGTAAATTCATCAGCACAACAAAATGAGTGGGAGAACATTCTTTTTACATGGGTGCCTCTTCAGGCATGCCTTTGGATGCCTCTCCGATCATCCTTCCCAAAATTGATGGAAAAGACTTACATAAACTCACCATTACATGCATATGTGACTTTAGCTGTTGAAGTTATCTGGTTCCAGGATTTCTTCTTAAAACTAACATACTTCACAGTGTTTGCTCACAATGTTTCTCTCACTTAATTCCATAGCAGAAGAACAGGGACGAATGCTTTACTGGTGTGCCACAAACACGGCAGCACGCAATCTTGAGATATTCGGCCAGTATAAAGCCTGAGATCCCCTCTGCCTCAATTCTCTTCCCCGGTCCCCGATCTGCATACTCTTTTTTCATTTTGGTGTAATTGTTCTGTCAAGTTGTAAGCTTTCTGATGGGTTAGCTCATGCAACGTATGCCACTATGTGCTTTTTTTCTGAGGAACTATGTTTTCTTCCTTTGGGAACAAACCTATATGTGACAGCACTTAGGAAGAGGAGTTTGATTCCTGTTGTATGACAGGGCATGTCTGGTTTTAAGAATTAGTTTGTACTTAGAAGCAGTTAAGTTAATGGCTGAGCAAGTGAATGTTCAAAGTTTGTAGAGTGAACCTCAGCTGCTAACTTCTCCGTCAAGGCTGCCTCCCACTTTCTCCAGATGAAGCTGTTTTTACAGATGCTTGTCGTTCAAGTTGTGGACGGGGCCCAGAGCAACATGATGTAATGTCAAAGCCAGCCCAGCGTTGAGTTATAGGTTGTGCTTAGATATCTGTCTTCCTGAGATCCCTTCCAACCTAAAGTATGCTATTATTGTAGGTTTTTCCTGAAATATTTTACAGCATTTGCTGCATGATTTATAAAATGCAATTAAATATAAAGGATAGAAAAGGTAAACGTACTTCATGTATTTTATTTTCTGTTTTACAACCTTGAGTTGTTGCTCATGACTTTGCCTCATTGTACTTACTACAAGATAAGGATGTATGGCTTAGTCTTGCCACTGCACGCTTAGGTTGTTTGCCTACTTATAGGAAAAAGAAAATATGTGTGATCTGTAATTTTGTAAGTCTAGAAACAACAGCATACCCTTCTTGAGTGGACGGTGATAGTATGTTGAATATGGAAAGTTAGCAAAATTTCTAGGAATAAAAATGCTATTTTTTTTTCAGTGAAGTTAACTTGTACGGGTATAAATGAAGCAAGCATGATATCAAAAAATACAGTAGGTTACAATATGACTTGACATTTCAAAAAAGTTTATGATTTGGGGGAAGCTATAAATAAATAGGGTAGATTTTTTGAACAGTCAAAGCTTCTTTCTTTGGCTATGCAAAGTACCTCCTCTTGCAGATCTCCCTTCACAAGCAAAGTGTTCCCGTGTTTGATGGAGTAATTTGAAAGAGAAAAATGTATCTGGCCAATCACAGAAACCTTATTCTATTTCTTCCTTTTCTGTAGTGCAATAATTTATAATCACTGAAGATCTCTATTCATATCTCCAGTTTTTGTTCTACATGAGGAAAGAGGTAATCTCAAATTGTAAGATGTGTACAGCAGCGTAGCAGTTCTGAGATTGCCTCTGAGTTTTTCAGATTCCTGATCTGAATTAGGTCTTCTTCAAATGTGTTAAGGCTGTTCAATGCACCTTTCCCACTTTCACTAACACTTGTTTAGAAATTACAGTTTTCCTAAGTCTTCTACTTTATCCATAGTGTTTGTCTTTGAAACTGGAACATTTTGTGTGGTTGAACTCTTGAGCTGCTTTTTAGCTCAAAAAAAAAATCAGACCAATATCAGCGAATGTGGAGGATCCTTTTGAATGTCTTCTTGAAATTCTGGTTACAAAGAGGATACAGGAATGGATTTAAGGTGGAGTTCACATAGCCAAGCCATATAGTGAACATATGTAATTTTGAATATTGTTCATGGCCATGGAAAGCTATTACCATAAATAATACAAAATAGGGAATCCAGCACAGCATAAAGGCTGCCATTATGACCCCTAACTGCTTAGCTGCTTTCCTCTCCCTGTTCCCATGCAGTCCTTGGATGTGCCTTTGGGAATGGCTGTGCAGACTTTGCCAGGTTTTCCTCAGGTAAGTCAGTCCTTTGAAATCCCTGTGCTCAGCCTTCTCCTGAGGACTGCAGGCTATTTCAGGGTTAGGACTGGAGTGCTTTCCACAGGGTACCTCTTCTGTGAAAGTCCGGTTGTCTGTGTCTGATGCATCACTTAAGTCACTGTCTTGTGAGCAAAGCTCCTCTTCGTTTTTGTCATCTTGTGTTGCACACCCACGCTGCTTTCCTGATTGATCCAGGTCTGGCTTAGACTGGGCAGTGGTGAGATGAAAACAGCTCCATTTAAGAACTTTCTTGTTACTCCTGCTAACTGCCTTTGAAGTCTTGTCACAATTTCTGAAATGAAGCTCTGCCTCTGTATTTTTGGGCTGAGGGGAGCTTTGCTTGTCTTCGGGAGGGGTGTTCTCATCCAAGATTTGCTTTTGGAGGCAAATAGTTTGCTCGTCCTTCATCTTACTATGATGTGTGGGGTTTTTTTCTGAGAAAGACCGACATGATCCATCCACGAGCTCTCGGTGTTGACAGTGTTTTTGAACAGCTCTGTATATTTTATAGTAGAACCATAACATCATGATAGAGGGTATGTAGAAATTGACAAAGGCCGTCAACACTTTAAACCAGGTGACTTCAGAGAATTCAGTTTCACATACTTGCTTTTCCTTTACTTTCCTTTCCCCGTTATGAGCAAAAACATGCCATCCTAGGATTGGAATGACCCACATGAAAGAGAGAAACCAAACTCCCAAAATCATTAGCGATGCTCTCGTTTTTGTTCTGTACTTGAGATATTTCAGTGGTTGCTGAACTGAACGATAACGGTCAATGCACAATATGAAGAGATTGAAAATGGATGCAGTACTGGCCACATAATCCATCGACAGCCAGAACAAACATGCTGGTAAGCCTAGAGTTGTCACGGGACTTAGGAGATAAACAATGTTCAGGGGCATAACAGCTGCACCAACTATAAGATCTGCAATAGAGAGGCTGACAATGTATAAATTGCCAACTGTTTGCAGCTTCTTTTCGGTTTTCACAGCACAAAGTACTAATATATTCATGACAATAGTGACCAGTGAAATGCTTCCCAGGAACAGACCTAGAAGAACTGAGTGAGTGTTAGTCGAGTTCTCTGTTGTATTATTTGACATCTTTTGCACAAGAACACAGAATGAAAGTCAGAGAAGATGTCCAGGCCTTGGAAATTCAGTCTTGGTTTAGACTCCTGGATGAAAATGTGCTGGATTGCTTTGTGATTTTTTTTTTCCAGAACTATAGAAAAGAAAATAAATATGCTCAATTACTGGAGTACTAAAATAAAATAATAAAACTAATCTGTGCATCAGCTTAGCACCGTCCTTCTTAGGACTTTCCTACGTACTTTCCTACGTAATGCATTTTTACAACATTTTACATATGGGTAATTTAACATGTATTCTATGAAAAGTACTGGAGCAAGCTCCATGAACCAATCCAAAATGGTTTGCAGAGGTGTTTCATGGGGCTTCAGATAATTCTGACTTCAGAATCTGAAGAAGAAATTTCAGTCCTGGCTGTTTTAATTACTTATTAAACAGCTGATCATGAACCATAACATAAACTACATATTGGCAAGCCAATTTACAAAAAGCAAATTAACATGTTTTGTACTGAATAAAAAAACCAGTGATTATTTACAGACTACGTCTAACGGTTTGAGAATACAGCAGCTGGATTTAATTATCCACCAATGATAGGGTCTCAGATGATGTCAAGTGACAAGGTATTCCAAACAATAGAAAGACTCCAGCTAGTATACACCTTTAGCTGATACAAAGAGTCTCAGATAACTCCTGCAGTTGTGCCAGGGTCTATGTTTTCACTGGTAGGCAGTCGTTCAAATTATAGGTAACCAGTAATCTCTTTCCTACCCAATTTAGGCTGACACAGATTTTAAACATATAAAGATGGCAGCCCTATTTTATTTCGAATAAATCTAATAAAAGTTCAGGGAAAATAATAGGATTTTTCAGGATTGATAAGCATCTTGCAGCCTCTCAAATGTGTATAAATATAGAGTCTCTTAGGCTGAAGTTTACTAGCTGTTCAGGTGCCTAAGAACATACATAAGAACTATTCTCCAAGAACTTGGAGAAGCCACGTTGCTCGTGCATGCTTGTTGTTGCTGTTTGCTGCATTGAAGTGGAAACTAAACTGGAAATAAAAGGAGTTGAGACTGAACACAATGCAAACCTTTCCTTTATCTCTAAGATTTTTTTTTAATAATTAATCTTTAGTAAACAAGCTATCTTTATTTGCTTAGAACTTTGGCATGAGCCATGTGTAGAGCCTTCTTTAAAATCTACATCGCCATGATTAGTGTGCCTAGGAATTCCAGTATATGCTGTGCAATTAAAAAAACCAAAAGGACAATATACTAAACAGTCACCATGACATCTACAAAACTTGTTTTACAGGGGGCCATTTGCCCGATCAGGCTTGTTTTCTAGTGACATTCATTTCTACATCCTGTTTTGCAGGTGTTATCAGTGGCAGATTTCATTTGTACAGACGCAGCGGTGAGTAGCTTTATAGTGACTTGATCTGCATCAGGAAGCAGCTATAGGTGCATGCTTCACTTGTCAACATAGAGGGTATATACTGAGATCATAGGCCTTAATTATAAAACATGTTATTTCTTCCATTTTCTAACACAAGCATAGTAACTCAAATATTGGCAATAAAAGGGGAAAGGAGAATGAAAAGGAAGGGAGGGAATGTAGAGGTAAGAAAAGCACCTTTTCAAAGTTGAGTAGATAAGCTATTCCATTATCTAGACATTCTCTGTACCTTTGATATCTTCTTCTTCCCGACTGCTAACTTCATGAGTTGGTCTAAAGTCTAAAAAATGATTAATAATATTTTAAGTCTTGGAGCATATTATCAGTTGACCAATTCTATCTCCAGGACATAGAAGAAAAATGTCTGTGAGGGTGATACATATTTTCTGCCATTTTTCTCTTATAGTGCTTGTCTGAGTTTATGTTCTGGTAAATCTCTTAAAGCAATGAGGAAAGAAATTGAGACTGTAGACATACTGGCTCAAAGCATTTACACAACTAACCCTAGGAGATATTGTGGGATTTCTCATCCTTGTTATTCTCAAACACAGTGAAATGAGTACAATGCAATAGATTATTCAGTATTAATTTCATGTTAACTTTATCTCTTTCTTATTCCAGTAATCAGGGTTGAAGCTAAAAAGTTTGTGTGTTTTCTTACAAGAGGTCAAATTCTTTCTTCCTTCAGCTTTACCTACAAGTGCCTGGTGTTATGAAAGATGTGTGCTTGGCAGCAGTAGCAACCATAGGCAGAGGACATACGTACACTGTGGAGCATGAGCTCAAGAGCTGTGTTCTGTAATTCTGTATTCTATACAGCCTTCAGGTTCTGTCACGTATAGTTCCTCAGTGACAGCTAGTCACAGATGTCAGAAGATCAGAGAGGCCTCTCAAACATCTCCTGTTTGAGAACAAAAACCGAAGTTACTCCACGTCTGGTGATGGGAAAGGATTACATCCTAGTCTATCATTGTCTTTTTTTCCACAGCTATACACTGTAACCTCCCTGCTGGAGTTAAGTATATGGGGCATGGTCAGGTCAAGAAGTTGATGTTAATTGCTTCAGGGACCTCATAAAGAAATGGCTGATCTTCACCCCCACATATTTTCATTTAAATTTATGGCAAAATAAAGGGAGAGAAGGCAACTTTAGCTGAGTCTTGAACAGAAAGAATAACAGCAACTGATTAGACAGCTCTCCTCGATTATTTATGAGCTGCATGTGGAATAAAACATAGAGCAGGTTAAGTAAATAGTGTTGACTGCTTCCCAGAGTTTCTCTTTAGGACTGCTGCAGTGAGATAGGGTAGGATTCAGAAAGCAGCCTGCAGAACTTGATCTGGATTTAGGAGCACTTCTGCCCTAAAGAAGGCACAAAGGTCTAGTTTTTCAACTCACGCTCCATTTTTATTAAAATGTCTTTTATTAAATGACAAAGCTTGATTACTTTTCTGTTTTGGAAGAGCTTATATAGGCTATAAAAATCCAAGAATGATATCAGGAGATGCAAATCATTTGAGAATACTAAGAACAAGAAGAATTCAGGGTAATGCATTTGCTCTTTTAAAAGTACATATGCTAACGGATACACCATATTTGTAATAATTCTGTCTTATAATGTAATTTTTATCACTATGTCATTTGAGCATTTCATAGTCCTTGACGGATTTTATCTACTCGGCTTTATAGAGAGCTGGCCATGTACTATTACATTTTAAATTGAAATTGAAGAACAAGTCAAAGCGACCTGCTAAACATTACACAGTAATATTAGATCTAAACCCAGCCAAGGCTCCCTTGCTCTCCAAACAGTATCCTGACTACTATACTGTTTTTTTTCTGTCTAGACTTTGAGTCTGTATTCATTCAGACACCCTAGACAAGCAATGCTGTTTTAGAAAATTATATTTTTTTCCAATTTTAATGCAGTGCAAGCAACTTAGTCCAGCTTTGACCTTCTGACATCTTCCATTGTAATAAGTCCTCTTACATGACAGGGTCTAATATGGCCGGAGTGGGCCTATATCCAGAAATAAACATCTACAGTATTAATGGCTGGAACAGGCTTGCAAGAACCATTTGCCCTAGTCTAGATTGAGTAGATCTTGAGGCTAGATGAGGATATTGAAGCTTTACAGTAACACTGCCTTTTCCCTATTGAACAATTTGTGGTTTTCACATATGATCTTTTACAACCCTGACTTTATGAGTATTCTCCCACCACACTATTGTAAGGCTCTGGGTAATTTATGTTTTGGAGCATGTTGATGAGACAAGAAGCCACTCTAAGAGGTAACTGGAAGAAGGTCTCCATACCTTCCACATGAAAGTTGTATACCCAGAATATACTTTCTACTTATATGGTTTTATTTGAAGCCAAATCGTACCTCTGAATCCATTAAAAAGATGTACCGAGGGATTGAGTTGGCCACAAAATGCTTAAAATAGAGCAGAAGTGCAATGTTGCTTTTGTACGACTCAGTCCTTGCAACTGCCTCTTTTCATTCCCTAGCATGTGACAGCATGTGCTGCTGCTGCTTCTGCCTGAGATCTTTCAGATCATGCAGAATTCTCCTTAACAATAAGTTATGATAGGCATTTACCAGCATATCAGACACACTGCAATCCCGGACTCATGTGTAGAAGAAAGAGAACTTCGTGGCTTTCTTGTCACTTCTAAGGGCCTGAAGAAGGCTTCCAGCACAGGAGTCCGTGCATCTTGCACCCAGCAGTGTCCGTACTCTTTTGATAAGGAGTAAGCTGCAGAGGGCCTGCCTCTCCCTCTCCTATTCAGGCCAACAGAACAGTACAAGAGAAAACAGTAAGCTTTTCCTAAGAAGCAAAGGTGACTGCACACAAAATAGAATGCAGAAAATTTGTATTTAATTGCAGAAATGTTATGTTGTTGGTCAGTGCCCTCTAATACTGCTCTGTGTTTGGAGCTCTGGCCCTTATATCACAGTCTTGCCCACTAAGCTTACACTGAACTGCTCCTCATTTGCCACTCTTTGCTAGAATTAGCACGTGCTACACAGCTTTGTACAGTGGAAGATAACTACAAAGTAATACACGTTGCTCCATATTATGAAATTCACTGGTCACCTCTTCTGTGCTCTAGGGAGGACTGTAATCAACAATTTTTTTTCTTAAATTTCCTACCATCATCATTAGTAGTGGTGGTACCAAGTATCATCAACAGTTGGTGATCGTGAGAGCACTGATTTGCAATAGCAGCCTCTTGCTCTTCACTGAGGCACACAACATTTTGGGGTTTAGACTGTTTGTGCTATACGTACCCCTGTTAAGGAGCTACTGGTTTAGTTCCTTATCTGTAACTCAGTTCCCAGCAGAGGAACTGTAATAATACTGAATAAATGTGTTTTAATAGTTGGACAGTTTAACTCTCATTGCACTGACCCAAAGCTCACTACTACAGAACAGATTTTAAATAAAACAATCAGCCTAAGATCTTGGATAGCTTTTTGGAATTTCTAAGTGGTGACCTCACCATTAAATACCTTCTTTAATTTTTATTGTCTGTAAAGAGCTTT